GCCGGGGGCGGGAGCGGGCGGGCCACTGGGCAGGAAAGAGAATGGAGTTGAGAAGTTCAGGGGCAGGCAGCCACCTGTTGAGGATGAGGAAGCCCGCCCCGAGAGTTCTCTTGACCACCAACCGTCCTCTCACCCCCGACCCCTCTGTTGGAATGGCAGCATCCCCTTCCGGAGAGAAGGGATGCAGGTGTGAGGGTATTGCAGAGCAAGGGCAGGAACGGTGCGGGCAAGGGCAGGGAGACTGGGTCACTGGCTTCAGAGGGAGTGGCACCTCAGGGTAGGGGACAGAGGACCAGCATGGGTGTTGGGTTGTGAGTGCTGGATTCGGGGGTCCTGTTGCCCAGGTTTGGGGTGCATACCTGTCTGGTTGATGCTGCCAAGTGACCCCTGCTCTTCGCAGAAGGCTGAGATCCTGGAGGGGGATTGTGGGGCTGCAGGGGAGCTGGGCAGGAGCCCCCTCCTGGGCCCACACCACCGAGATCTCAGCCCCTGGCTGGGGAGGCTTCACTAGGTGAGCAAAAGAGAGGCCAAGGGGAGGGGGCGTGAGCCGAGAGGCAGGGGTAGAGAATGAGCCTGGGTGCTTCCCGAGGGAGAAACAGGGTGCAGGAAGAGCTTGGGTTTCTGTCCCTTCTCTGCCCAGAGAGGCTTTGGGGGTGGAAGGACTGTCCAAAAAAGGGATTAGAAGAATCCACCACAGAGCTAAGGACCTCAGGACCTTTGTGGCCACAGAGATCCCTGCTGGTCCCCTCCTGTGGGGCCGGAGGTCAACCCTCCCGCCATCCCCGCTTTACCTGGAGCCACCCAGAGCGGCTGCAGAAACAGCAAGCCCAGGAACTGAGCCTCCCACATCTCTCCTATGGTCTGGGAAGCACTGAGCCCTCCAAAAGGAGGTCAGAAAAGGAAAGTGGGCAGTGGTGGGGGGTGGGGGGGCAAAGGAGAAGTTCTGCAGATAGGGAGGTGGAGGAAGAGGATCTAGAAGAAGGGAGACCAGGAGAGAGCCTTGGAGAGAGGGTGGGGAGGGATGACCAGAGGCCAGAATCCAGAGGAAAGCTGGGCAGATCAGGCAGCCTGAGGAGGTGGGGGGGGTGTCCCAGGGAACAGAGCAGGGCCGTGGCGGAGAGCAGACAGAGCAAAGTGGCTGTCGTGACTGGGATGCCGTTCTGCTGGTCTCCGGGCCTTCACCCCTGTGCCCGGCCTTCCCTCCACCTTCCCCACTTCCCCTCCTCCCTGCCCGCCCCCCGCACCCCAGGGCTTACGGTTTCGCTTCGCAGTGGAAAGTCTGAGGGGGCTGATTCCCAGCAACAGCACCCTCCACCTCTGTGGTGGCACTCCCCTTGTTTACTTCCTCAGTCCTGGGTCTCCCCACCTCCCCCTCCCCGCCCCTGCCCCACCTTCCAGACTGCTCCCTCTGCCAGGGACCTTCTGCGGCCACGCACCATTTCTGCCTGAAACTGCCCCCTTGCCCATCTCCAAGCTGCCTCCTCAGTCCCAATATTCACACTTCCTTCTTGGCAAGCTCTTTCCTTGTTGCTTAATCTCCTCCCTCATTCTCTTAACCTCCCAGAACTTCGTGACCCCTTTAGACCGGCCTTTCCACCCATCAGTACAATGTTTCCTGGGAACATGGTGGACAGGAAGCTTTACTGCACCCTAAAACATGGTAGGTCTAAGGCGAGGCGTGCCAGCTTTGCGGGGCATGGAGAGTAACTACATTGTATTGAGGCTTCATTACGTGCTAAGCACTGCATAGGACACTTATAGTAATTCATGAAATCTAGTAATTTTCCCCATTGTACAGATGAGGAAACTGAGCTTCCAATAAATTGTACAATTTGCCAAGGTTAGGGAGTGTGAAGATAAAAGCTGTGAGTGTACCTGTGTGCGGGAGAGTGTTTAATCCTGACCTTGAATGAGTTATGGGAGTCTCCTGGGACAAATGATGCTGTTGATGAGTCAACACCCCTCCCCACTCCAGCTGCGGCCCCCATGCACTCAGAAGCATTCTCCAATCCAGAGGTTCCGAACTGAGAGGAGAGGGCAAGGGTCATGCAGAGATGGAGAAATGCAGAAATCTTAGCAATCTCCTAACAGAGATCACACTCAGGGGAAACAGAGGCAGTGGGACTAGGGAGGGCCCAAGACTGACGAGAGTCATACAACTCCCACTCCCCAGCCCAGCCCAGGGAGAGTGGGAGGGCAGGTGACGAAACATACAGCTGACCTGGGAATGACAAGAGGCCCAGGATTTCCCTGCTTGACTGGAAGGAGCTCTCTTCTGTGCCAGGCAAAGGGCATCTCTGATGCCCAGCAGCTCACTCCAGATCCTAGGAGGCTGAGACCCAGGACTACCAGCCCTCTCCCAGCTCAGGGGCAGGACTTCCTGTTTCTGGGCTGTTTCTCTGTGCCTGGTTCAGCACAATAGAGCTGGTAGCTTTCCACTGGGCTCAGCAGTGTCTAGGTCTTGTGTGGGTTAGCAGGGAAGTGTGTATTGCTGGGGAGGAGCATCCCTGAGAATCCAAAACAGGACGTAAGTCAGCTCTCAGAAGAGCTGGGCTCCGGGCCACCCCTGGAGGGCTGCTCTTGTCTTCTTGAGTCGTGGGTGGCAGGAGTGTGCTGCTGCTTTTGTATCAAAGGGAAGGGTCCTGGCAGAATGTGAGGTCAGCCACCCTCATCCCTTCTCTACCCTTTTGTCACACTGACTGGACCCCCCCGGGAAAGCAGGAGACAGGTTAAAAACAGAAGCGCGACCATTTCTTTATTAAATTATACAAAAAGGGAGGGGAGGGGGGCAGCTGTGGGGCTCGGCCCCAACCCCGGCCCCACCCCGGCCTGGCGCTGTCTGAGAAGAGGGGATCTGAGGGAGATCCAGGGGTCAGGCAGGATAGGGATGGGGCAGGACATGAGGCTGGGGGATGCAGAGGTTAGGTGGGAGAGGCTACCAGAGGAAGGATGGGGCTGGTAGGGGAGGGAGAAAGAGAGCAAAGAGAGAGAGGAGCAATTGGGGGCCAGCTGGGGAGCTCAGATGGAGCAGGTCAGGAGGTGGAACAATGGCAGAGTGAGGGTGGAGGGCGCAGTGTCTGGAAAGGCGGAAATGAGAAGGCTGGGGAGAAAGAAGAGGGTGGCAGCTCTGGTGCAGGGCCCAGAGCAGGGAGCCAGGTGAACAGTGGCTGGACTTGTCTGCCCCCACCCCCACCTCCAGGCCCAGAGAGGCCTCCCAACCCCAGCCTGTTGGCAGGGGCTCACGCCGATGCCCCATTTTCTGTCTTCTGCCGCTTGGGATCAGCTTCATCCTGTGGAGAGGGAGAGAATGGGGGAGTTGTAAAATGGGAGGGGAGACCTCCCCCTGTCCCGGTCCTGTTCCAGCCCCCACCCCTGCTGCACAGGTATCTGGGTCCAAATCCAAAGGGCGCCCAGCCCGGCTGCATCCCTGACAGCCCCTCAGGCCCAGCAACCCAGCCCAAACCTCCTCTTCGGCAGCTCTCTTCAGCGCGGGCCCTTCGTCATCCTCTTCTTCTTCTTCCTCATCTGAGGAGCCAGAAATGGGTCATTGGGGAAGGGCAGGAAGCTCCGGCACAGACCCCCTGTGGTCGCCCTTAGCCCTGCTTCAGGTCTTCAAACCCACCCTGACTCTGCTCATTGGAGCCCAGACTTTGCCAGCCCAGCCTCCCCTGCCCCTCCCCACCTTCTTCTTCCCCTTCATCTTCCTCCTCTCCATCCTCAGCAGTTTCTTCTTCTTCCTCCTCAGCCCCGTTCTCCTCCTCCTGTGGGGACCAGGAGAGGGAGTAGCCTCAGGCTGGCTGCATGCCCTGCCCACCATTACCACCAATGGGAGGGGAGACTGGGTGAGAAAAGGACTTGGGAGGGGCCTCAGGGTGGGGCAGCAAGGATGAGAGGGCTCAGTGCAAGGGCAGGACGCAGCACGCTCAGAAGGAAAGTGGAGGAAGGATGAGATGATTGGAAGATGGTAGGGTAGATGTGGTCCTCTCCCCGATCCCTCCACACCTCCACCACTTCTTTCTTTCGCTCTTTCCGGCTTGCCTTCTCCTCCACCTTCTCCTTCTTCTCCTTCAGGTCCTGCAAGGGAGAAAGAGGTCACCTTTCTCACCACAAATGGCTTGCAGCCCCTAAGTCCCTGCAGCCCCCGTCCTCCCTCTGTAGTGAACTTAGAGGAGTATGAACTGAAAAGGTGGCCACAACTTAGAGACAGAATAGGGGCCCCAGGGTCCTTACATTAGGGCCATGAAGGGGTTGAGACCAAACACCTCCTTCCCCAAGACCCAAGGTGGGGTGGGAAAGGGATGAAGAAGCAGGAGCTGGCAACCAGGGTAACGATCCCCACCCCCATCAAGTTCTCCCAAACCTCACTGGCTGAAGAGTTCAGCTCAGCAAAGCGAATCCTCTCCATCTGCTTGCAGCCTCAGTGCCCCACCCCCTCCTGTGTCCCTCCGCCTCCCTGGCCTGCCCCCCACTGCCCGCCCAGCTCTGCCTTTTGTCTACCTCTGGGGCCTTTTCCTGAGGACTCTCTCTCCTGGGCATCCCTCCCAGCTTCCCCTTCAGCTTCTAAGGTCTTTGTTTCTCTCCGTCTGTGTCTCCCTAATCCTCAGGCCCCTACTTGGCCAAACACTACCAGAGATAGGGAGAGCACCTTAGCACATTCCCAGCACCCCTCCCACTTTCTGCCCTCCCCACCCCAAAACAGTTCAAGTAGTTTCCTTCTTCCTGCCTCCCATGATGTATGCATGGGTGTAGTGGAAGAGTGGAAGTAGCATTTCCAGTGGAAATGTAGGTGAAGTAGGAGAGAAAACAAGGAGGGGAAGAGTAGCAGGCATGGGAGACAAGGAGAGAGCAACAAACAAGGTCTGTGACTGGGGTGGGATAGGAATGGAGAAGAGGGAGGCACCTGTCTAGTAGACCCTCCCACCGGCCAGCCCCTCTCCTTCACCCCAAGATCCTAGCAGGCATAGGATGACATCCTGTGCTGATATGGCAGCGGGAGATGCCCATGTGAGTCCCTTCTGGACACTACACTAGCCTCCCAATTCAGATTCCAGTCCTCTCCCCACCCACTCCTTGGCAGGCACAGTGTAACACGGTAGGTGTCCTTGTGTGATCTGATCTGGTGTTGGTGTGCCATGCTGTGTATCTGATTCCATGTGAATGGAAGTCTCCTGTGTGAGATCACCCTGGGAGGGGGGTCTTTTCTGGAACAGGATAGGGGATAGGAGAGGAGCCCAGTGCAGAACGCCTGCCCTGAGGGGCACTCAATTCCCTTCTCCCTTTAAGGGTAGCTGAGAACTCTTCACCCTCACTCCAGCGAGGCTGCCCTTCCACCCCACCGTGAGGTCTTCATTTCTGTGCCACAAGGTCAGTATGGCATTTCCACTACCTAGTGGGCTCTTCCCTACATCCTGGGCCAGGAGAGCAAGGAGCTGGTCAGCTTCTCTCTGGGAGCCCCAGCACCAGAAGTCTGTAGGGCCCTGGCCTGACTTTCCCATCTGGGCTGATGGAGGGAGGGAGTGAGAATACCAGAGACCAAAGTTCAAGAGGCCGGGCCCTCTCCTCCCCTGTTCTGTCCTTCTGGTCACTGTCCTTCCATGATCCCTTTTCCAGGAGAATATGTGACCTGGGCCCTAGGTCTTCTGCTAAGCGGCCCTCTGGCCTCATTTACTCAAGACAGGCACACACACCTACACCGGCCGACAGCGATGCACAGAGAGGGGCACCCACGCGATGGGAGACACATGGCCCAGCGCTGGGCCATTCTGGTACACACTCTTGAGACAGCACGGGAGCAAAGCGGAGCCACTTAACACTCACAAAGCGACAACATGGCTCCAGAAAATCTACGTCTCCACATGCACACATGTAACTGACACGGGCAGTCCCACACACTCGCTGGATTTCAGACATACAAAGACACCTACTCAGTGAAGTCACATGCCACCGCACAGCCCGCCGGAGGGCCACACGGGCGCACCTTGGCAGATCGCACACAGCCCCTCTCCCACCGCCGTTAATCCCATTGGCTCCCCCCGTTTCACTTCGCTGGCCTCCGGGAGACCAGTGTGACGGCCCCTCAGCAACCACCGCGCCCCAACCCGCCCCGCCACACACATACACACACAAGATAGGGCTCCCAGCCCCCAAACCCCGGCCGCGTTAATTTCCCAAAGCGACACTCCGAAGGTTCCCTGGGGAAATTAGAGAAGGCTGGAAGAGAAGCAAGGGCGAACGGATGGGGCAGGGAAAGGGAGCTGATGAGGGCGAGGACAGCTCGACGCAATGCCATGCAATGCCCAGCCTCGGCTTTTTCGAAGGCTATTCCTGCCCCGCTTCTAATTTTTAGGAATTCGAGATTCTTCCAGTGTGTATGTGGGAAAGGGACGATGAAGAAAAAATAAAGCTGAAAGCCAGCTGAGGGGAGGGAACGAGAAAACAGAGGCAGCCGCCGTCCGGGGAGAGAAGCGAGCGACGGTCGGGCCGCGGGGAGGGGCCGGGAGGAGTAGCCTCCAGGGACAGTCCTGTTTACACTTGAGGATCTCAAACCGCTTAGCGAGGAAAGGTGAGGTCGGGTTGCAAGGAGAGACGCGGCAGCGGGGCGCAGGGAGGGGGCGCGGCAAAGTGAGACTCGGGGCGTTGGGACTGAGAGCCGGACGGGATCCGGTCAGCGAGGTGGGGCCGAAGAGGGGT